TTGGCTATGGTTTTAATTGCACCTACTAAACTGTTTTATTAATCTTTTTTTTTCTGTGATTTTAATTTGGGAACCACAGGTGAATGAGCACTGCTCATGCTCATTGCAGGCATAGAGAGCATGGCAACTGCCAGATGTGCTGGATTCACAGTGCAGACTGACTCAGCACTGCACGCACACACCAGCTGGGCATGGAAAACCTCAGATTCACAGTGCAGAGCCCCAAGCACTGGACTCCCAGCATATGTGCCCAGTGTGATACTGGTGAGAAGCAAGAACATTACTGGAAAGGTAATGTGGGATAGTTGACTCCACAACTTGGGAGTCCCAGTAGTGCACAGCTGGAATTGGAAATGCAGGGCACAATAGTGTGGCTCTGCACAGTACCAGATAGCACACTTAAAGCTAATTAGCTCAGGCTTGGTTTTGGCACTGCTGGCGATGGTGCCAGCAGTGGGCAGAGAATGACAGGGAGTTCATGGTCCTAGAGGACAGGGCAAGCAGGAGCAGGGACAGGAGGCAGCAGCGGTTTGGAGCTGGGGACAGTGACACATCAGCACCAGGGCTAGAGCCCGGCCGGGCCAGTGGCTCGGCGGGGACAGTGGCTCGGCGGGCCAGCCGGGCTCTGCGCCACACTCCCTCAGCTAATTAGTCCCCACCCTCGGAGCCAGGGCCCTGCGCTTCCTGCATGGCTCAGTGCATGCTGCCAGGTGACCGTACTGCATTCCCCAGCACATCCCAGGTCACCCCGGTCTGCGTGACGCAAAACAGGGCATCTCCCCTTCCCTGGATGGCAGAGCGCTGACTGAGAGTCTGCATTTATCTGAGGATAACCAATGTCCACATTTTTTCCACTTTTTCACTAAAATGGAATTCTGAGTGAATAGTTTTTGCAGATTTCGCCAGGATTCCTGGAAGTGAACAGTCATGTCAGCTTGTAAGTGACTGTGTTTCACTAGCTTTGCTGGGACTGCTGCACACCCAGAAACCATACACACGCTCATAGCAGAGCTGCAGCGGCTCCGCAGCAGGGGAATTTTGAGAAGCACTGCATGTACCAGACATGCATGAGAATTGTTACTGTACAGCACATCAGGGGGCTGACATCTCCAGCAGAATCTCTTAGATGGGCAGAATGCATATGTGACAAATAGCTGGTTCGTAACACGCAGTACTGCCAAAGCAGCCAAGAAGCACTGAATTTATTACAACTGTGCACTGGGCTTACTATTTAAGAGAAGCATCATGCAGTAGATCAGATACTTTGTGTAAATATGGGACTTATTTCCACGTGTTACGGAATGCAAGTAAACGTACTCCTTCCTGGGATATTCTGGAAAGAAATATGGTAGTTCTGTATTTAGAAATCCAGCTTTATACAGGCACTCAGGCTGGAATAGTGTTGCCAGTTCAACAGACTGCATTTGCTAATAATTTATGCAAACATAACATGCATGTTTTTAGGTTCCAGAGAAAGCCAGCATTCCCAGTCCTCATCTAATTGGAGTTGACCCTAGCGATTCAGCTGTAAAATGGTTAGGAACATCACTCCAGCCCATCCCTCAAGCTCATATAAGACCACCTCTACCTATATTTATAATGCCACATCAATAATATGTTGAGCCATCCCCTGTTGGAGAGGATAACCAATTAAATGCAGTGGACACACAGAAGTTTACTTTCTGTCTGCTAAAAAAAATTATACCCCTTTCTAACTGTATGTTTCTGCTATAGGAACACCCCCACCTTCAAAACTAAATTACAGACTGTAGCATTTTATTGCAGAACATGTGCCAGCTGCTGCTTCAAGTTGAGAAAGACCTAGACAGAGATACGACTCACCATCTCATTTTCTTCTCCCTGGTTAAGCTGTGCATAATGGTTCTTGGCAGGATTTTCCCCCATGAAATGACCCTCTGGAGATTTTCAAGAGCACCTTCAGGACAGGTCTTCAGTGCCGAGTGCTTGAACTTCCACATTGAGGAAGTGTTCTAAGTACACACCTTCCTTATAACTCTGCTGATGTTTGAAGAACGGAGCTCCTCCCTCTCTGTGGGGTTAGCAGGTAACATTCATTCCTCCTCCTTTCATTGTCGTTGGAGTTTTGCAACCGCGAGAGTACGAGCAAAATTCACTCAAAAACACTGCAAGAAAGAAGAAGTAAGATTTAACAAGTGTTTGCCACATTATGACTCTGCGCCATAACTCTGATAGGTGCAAGCAAGTGCTGTTGGCATGCAACTTTCAGGGGAGGGCAGGAGGGGAGTATTTTCCTTCAAGAGATTATGGAATCACTGGAGACCAGGAGCGTGTCCAAATGAGAAAGGAAATAGGCATTGCTGTTGTTAACACTTAGCAACCAGCCTGAACTAAGTGCCCAGCTATGATCCCCACATATGCCTTGAGAAAAAAATTCAAGCTCTGGCATTGCAAATGGGGGCCTCAGTTTGTGCCAGTGGATTTATGCATGAGTGTGTAAGGAGCTGTAGGATCTGTAACCAGTATTTTTATTCATTATTAAGAATATAATCACAGAAAGTCTTCTGATTTCACCATAGAGCTTTGGGAAACATCAGGTTATTTACTCGCTCCTGCTGGATGGTAGAATTCCCCCTGATGTCAGTAAACTGGATATAAATGTGTGACCTCCAAATCAGGGCCAAAGGGAGGGTTTTGTCACCTCCTTTTTTTTGTTAATGTCAAGCTGCCTTTGTTTATTATTCTTGTGAATCATTCTAATTTTCTTGTCCTTTGCTACTTTTGAAGAAGTTACACACCAAATATCTTAGGAATGATGTCAGGATGAGCACACCTGTTCTTCCAGTGAATATGTTAAGGAAAATAAAATATTATTTCTAGAGTGACTGAAACAGATCAAAAGGTATCAAGTTAGTTCCTATTCATCAGCATTTTACTTCCATGTGGCAGGGACTTGTACAAGCCTCAAGTACCAGGAAAGACCACTGCCTATCCTGCAGTGGGCAGGCTCAGAGAAACTGAAATGGGAGAAATGCAGGGAACACAGAAGAGAAAACAAGGTCAATCAGTACAAGAAAAGCTGCCCATTGCTAATAATGTGAGCCAGGCACAGACCTGCAAACCAGATGTGCATATATGTGCAGCACAGGGATGTTTGGCTGTTTTTTTTATTTTATGTTTGTAAAATGTTGGTGACAAGCAGCTTGTATTGGACACCTAGTACACTTTCAAAAGGAACCAGAGGCTGGACAGGAAAGTACTAAGCTGTGTTAAGGATTATCTGTTGCGACAAGATCAAGAGAGAAAAAGGTGCTCTCCATATCCCAGCTTCAGTGTTACCCCTTCCTTCCCTCTAATGCAACTCTGAGGGCAGCTTTGAGTCTCTCAGCTTTCATTTTGTTCTTTTGAGACCCAGCAACAGGAACTCTTCAGTTATTACCTAAGAATCAAATTTCTCAATTAAAAAATAAAAAGGAAGAATGCAATAAAGTCATAAACCTGATTATACAAGAAAACTGAGCAGTGCTATCTAGAAGCTATAAAAGACAGGAAATAACCGCAGAGGTACCTTTTCCAAGGCAGGCTGATGATTTTGGGAAATGACTCATTATTTTGGGAGGTGCCAGGGCTGGAAAACAGGAGTGCCACACACACACACTTTTTCTGTCTGGTCAGCTTTTGCTCCTTCCCCAAACGTCAGCCTTGTTCTTTCTAGTGTCTGTAGAAGACTAGAGTGTAGTAGGGGTCCTTGCTGCCTTTTCACAGAGAAGACAGATGAGCTGCATGCAGAGTATCCCACCAAACTTGGGTGGCATAGGGAATGATCAATCAAGGGTCATCCAATGTATTCACTATTCACAGGCTTATTCCAGCTCCTGTTGACAATTTCTGCTCCTACAGAACACTCTTATTAAGGAGATTTATATCTTCACATCTGAAAACAAAGAAAAAACAGAGTAAATGTGTAAAACATTCATCAACCTGTCATCATATTCCAGCAAAATTTGCTATTCCAGAGCCAATGATGATAGTGGAATTTGTTCATTTTCTTAAGCAGGTTCACTTTCTCCCGGAGAAAAAACACCTCCAAAGCATCCAGCATTAGGACCTTTAGCTATATGATGCCCTCTACTGTTCAAAGTAAGAATTACACATTAGTTTATAAAAAGCTATTTCTATCACGTCCTATGGAGTATCTTCATTCTTATTTTTAAATTGAAATTTGCCTTAAAACCCAGACATAAATCGAAAAAAAATAACTGGTCAAATTAAAATACAAAACAAAAAGTACGATTTAAAACAAAGATAGTCCTTTAAATTTATAAATAAACATATAAATCTAAAAGCAAGCAAGCAAGAGACAAAACATGTACTTCACCTCATCCCTACAACTTCTGTCCCAGCCCTGAAAACACATGTATGTATTATGCCGTTCTTGTACAACTTATTTTGCTCTAAGAACTCCCACTGTATAAACAGAAGCCTGGCCTACAACACACTCCACATCTCTTTTTCTGTTTAGCTCAGGACATGAGACCCAGTTCTGGGCATATTACAGAAAGGAAGCTGTGAACCAGCTGGTGACAATCCACAGGACAGCACAGAGAAGAATGAGAAAGGTATCAGAAAAGATGGAAAAGGGATTTTGGGTTGTTCAATCTAAAGAAAAGGAGGCTGAGACATGCCGACAGTTTTCAAACACGCAAATTAAGAAAATGACACTGTGTTCACTATGGATAGAGTTAACTTGCTGCAAGAATGATTCAAATTAGGCATGTGGGAAAACTTTCTCTTAACGTTAGCAAGCACTGTCACTGCCAGGTGAACACTCCAACACCTGTGGTCTTTACAGACAGGTGAGGGATGCACCTCTCAGAAATGACATAACTAGAGGCGATTGTGCCAGAGGGCACGCAGACAGATAGATCTCCTCAACACTCCTGGTTCCTCCTCTGCCTCCCACTTCCATGGGGTCCTGGCAGCAACCCCCACCCAAACAACTCACAGAAGCCCATTGGGACATGCTGTGCGTTTTCCAGCTTTCAGGCCGACGCTGCCACCCATTTTGCACACACCTTCAGCGCAACAACGGCTGGGAACTCATTTGGGAATGGTGTTTTAGCAGCTCGGAAGACCCTGGTACAACCAGAGGCCTCCACCCGAGGCCAGGCCTCACTGCCCTCTCCAGCCCTGACCCGCCGGGCCGGGCCGGGCCAGGTCGCCCTGGGGGTGCCCTCAGCCAGCCCAGAGGGGAGGCGCTGAGGCCTGGCCCTGCAGTCGCTGAGGTACGAGGGGGAACACCGGGGCCGGTGCGGAGGAGCCATAACGGCCCCGTCCCTCCGCTCCTCCAAGCCGGGCGCACCCCCTCCGGTGTTCCCTCAAATCCCGCCGCCGCGCCCGGAACCTTCGCGCAGGGAGGCGCGGTTTCCGCCCGGCCCGGCCGCACCGGACCCGCGGTGCCCGGAAGCGGCGGTAGCCCCGGCGGCCGCGGCGGCTCCACCTGCCCTTGCCCGCCTAGCCCGGGGCGCCAGGCGCG